CTTTGACATGTGTTTGGCCCAGTATTCCGTATCCAGCCCAGGGCCTGCTTTCCATTCATTCACACAGGCGGCCCAGGGCCTGGGTTTCCTTAACCAACTGGCACTGCGCAACTGCCTGAATTTCCTTGGTTGCGCAGAGGCTGAAATAAGGCCCTGAAGGCCTCGTCGAGCCTGCCTTTACTTAGGGAGGCCGACGGGCTGTATGAGAGGGGCCGAAAGGGGCTCATAGAGGCAGTGGCCTCGCAATGTGAAGAAAGTTCAATAAATTGCAATTGTTAGATACTGCATAGCACGGCGGACATGTTCGCGCAAACGTGTTTGCGTGTTCGCACGAACAGCTGGCGAACGTGTTCGGGCGAACATATTTATTTTTCGTAAAAAAGAACCCTTTCACGCAAGTGTGTACATGTCATGTATCATCCTCACACACCATGATCAACAGTCTCAAGTAATAGACAAAGGTAGATGAGAAGAGGACCGAGTTTCACAGCTTATATTATCAGAAATATGAATACAAAGTGTTTGCAAGTTCCCCTGAGTCCAGCGCTCATCAGCGCAACACCAATCTCTTGTCAACTCGTCAATATGACTTCCAGTGAATCAGCGCTACTCCTGCAGATAGTCTCCAAGTCATCAATGTGGTCACTACTCATCAGCGCCACCTCAGGTAAGTATCTTCCATAGCCAAACCTTGAATGAACACTCTCAGCCTCTATCCCTTCCTTCTACGATGCATTCACACTCTTCACTCACGAGGATCTACCCTGGATACTACTCATAGCTACATACTAACCCCTCTACTACAAATGCTAAACTCGCTGGGCAGCTATGGCTGCATCACTTCCAGCGTACAGGCTTCTTCCTCCATTCAGCGCATCTTCTACCTCCAGCGCTGCTCCTCCTGACTCAGCGCACAAGTGCACCAGCACTTCGACACATTGCAGCCAGTGGAGATCTGGCGAGGAATGAGGCAGGCAGCTCCCTTTATAGTGCTGGCCACTCCTCACTGGGTCTGCATTGGCTCAATTCGGCCTTTCCTTTGTCCCAGACCCTGCATTGCATGTGTCCCAGTATAGTTCCAATGAAGTTCAACTGCGCTGAGGCCTCTCGGCCTGGATTTGGACTTGAAAGTCTGGATCTGGACTGACCCCTTGACTTATACCAGAACTGGGACTGTGCCTATTGACTTTACTTTCGGACAGGCACAACTCTAAACGAACAGACACATTTACTGCTTGAACAGACACTTTCCTTTGCACGAACAGGTACACTGCCTGCACGTACAGACACACTCTTACCCGAACAGACATGACATACACATCTCCTGGTGAACAGGTAAGTCTTTTGACAATGCCCTTTGCCTTACATTTAGATGTGCCTGTTGACAGAGAACTTGACCTTTGACCTGCTTTCACGTTTCTGAGCCCTGGCGAGATACCCTTTCACAATGCTTTACTTTTAAAGTCCCGTGCTGCTTTACTTTTACAAGGCCTGAGGCCTATATCGGGTAAAGGCCCTTTTAATAATAATAATGATTTGCTTTTTTTTTCGGTTTTTGATTTTTAACTCACGTTTGGCTAAGAATTTGAACATGACTCCAAGGCAAAAGTTGCTTGCATTGTTGTTTTACATGACATATATTTTTTTCAATTATTTTCAGATTTTTCTGAGACCTTTTTTTAATAATTTTTTGTGTTCACGTTCGGAGGGTTTTGGGCGCTAGTTCGCATTCCGGCGAACATGTTCGGGTTCGCCTCCGAACGCGAACACGATCCTTCCTCGCACTATCACTCTACCGGGTCCACCCATTTAAAGTTTAAAGCTTAAACTCACCTAATGGCAATCAGACTCATCTTCTTTCACTCAGCATGCATGAAACAGATGGCAATCACACTGGCGACAAGAGCCCACACAAAGCTCAGAGATATCGTGGCCAAGAACACAGTTCAGATTCAACTCTCTTCAAATGGCTATGGTGCCTGTGCGCCCTCACAACTCCCTTCCACGCTGTATCCTCAGCACTGTTCACACACACGCGACTCTGGATCTCCCTGGATAGCCCACACACGCACACAGTTCACTGCACACTCACTCACAAAAAATGCTGTAGACTACCTTGTTCCCCGGTACCAAACCCTGTTCCCTCTTACTCCCGCAGCCCATGCAGCCCACATTATACCCCTCTTCCCTTTCGACTTGTTAACCAGTGATCGGCCCCGTCCCGTCCATCACAGATTTCAGCATTGCTTCATGATTTTTGACAGCCGGGTCGTTGCCTTCAAGAGGGAGGGGATAGTGTTACGGCCTCCGCCAGGGCAAGATCCCTGGTATATCTTTTTGCTGTTTCGACTGCATCCCGTTTTCGGCCGCCAGTTTCAAATACCGCATTTTTTAGTTCTGTTTCGGCATTCGGGAATTCGGGCGCCAGTTTCAAATACCCCATTTTTTAGTTCTGCCCTCGGGGCCTTTGCAGAAATGCCCCTGGCACCGTACGTGTCACCGGTACTTATACCGGCTCCCCTTACGGTACGGGATCAGTCTCGTACCAGTTTCCAGCTGCGGTACTCGTACTCCGTGTGACTTGCTGTTTCGGCATTCGGGAATCCAAGACTTCGACTTTGTGCCCTTGCCACTGTGTCTGTGTCCGACCCTCAGTCGAGTCGAGTGAGTGAGGGAGTGTGTATGCTCTCCATCTCTCCCTCTCTCTCTCTCTGTCTCCTCTCCCTCGGCTCTCCCTCGGTCTCGCGTGCGTTACACTGGTATCGGAGCGGTTCAAACCCGCCCGATCCACCCTGCTTTGTCGTCACCACCTGGCCATCATCCCTGGCCAGCTCTAGAAGTTGAGGGCGGAGAGGATGGACCGTCCTACACAATAGAGATCCCAGCACACCTCCACACCTACCCTGCATTCCATGCATCAAAGCTATTGCCGTGTGTCACAAGTCAACAGTTCCCTTCAAGAAGATCCATAATCCCTCCGGATATGGATGGAAGATATGGCATTGANCTTCAAGAAGATCCATAATCCCTCCGGATATGGATGGAAGATATGGCATTGACGGCATTGTAGATGAAGATGTGTTTAGGACAGGAGGTAGAGGTTATCCACAGAAAAGGTCCGGTTTGCTTACCAGGAACCGGAAGACGGCCGCTGGTTTACTAGAACGGAACTTCTAAATACAGCTCCCGACATAGTCAGAGCCTATGAGCGTGATAAGAAGGGTAAAGGTCCTTCCTTGGACTAACATACTCTCGGAGGACCTCAAATTTAGGACGGCGGGAGTGAAACGGTTTTCACCTTTTTGCAGTAGCAGATGCAGATCCCAGGGCTCGATCCCTAGTCCTTACCCTACCATGTACAGTACCTGTGTAGACCCCGAGAGTTGAACCCGTGACCTGTGTACTTATAAGCAACTGGTAGGCTGTCATAGGTCCGTAGGTTGTAGGGGTTCGATCTGTAGGTCTGTCGAATAGAAGTCTTAGCGAAGTCTAGAAGTTTTAGCTGTAGTCTTCTAGAAGGTCGGCAAGTGGGCAAGTGGGCAAGTGGGCAAGTGGTGAGCCAAGTGGTGGACTAACTGCAGTACGATGGCAGTACGACCTCGGTAAATTAGCAGCGAGTCTCCAAGCAGTCAGCGGTGCAGTCCAGTCAGTCCCAGTCCAGTCCAGCAAGTACCATGAGGGACTGTGCACCACGGGCCGATGGAAAAAGGGCAGACCAGCGAGCTGCTGAAGTATAAATCAAGAGGCAGCGCCCAGTCATTCATTCATTCCTGCGTGAGCCATGCGGAAGCGCTGCCACAGCGACTTGTGCAAGGAGGTCTGCAGTGACGCCCGAGGACGAAGTGGGCAGAGGGACGGAGCTTAGCCATAGCGATAGGGTAGAGGCGTCCATAGCCGCCATAGCTGTAGTTGAGGTTTAGTGTGTGTGTGTGTGTGTGAGTGTGGGATATCCAGGGTGATCCAGTGTATGTGAACAGAGAGTTGTTTGGGCGCTGAGTCACCATAGCCATTGAAAGTGAACTCGTATCTGGGTTGTCATATCTCTGAGTTTTGAGTGGGCGCATGTCGCCAGTTGCTGCGCTACTGTTTGCATGCACGTAAAGTGTGAATGAAAGCGAGTCTGATTGCACCACGCACAATACAACACTAGTTATAAAAATAAATTACCACAACCCACGACCAGAATAGCAAACTCGGTGAATGCACTACGGGCGGAAATGCATAGTCTCTCTCTCTCTCTCT